TGTCCCTCTGCTCCGTGCAGCCCTGTGTCCAGGGCAAATACAGCTCCTTGTGCAGATGCTTGCTGGATGAGAGTGGGGCACGGAGAGGGAGCAGGGCCTGAGCTTGTCCCAGAGTGTGCAGATGGATATCAACAGAGCCAAAGGGGGTGACTTCTATCCCTAAGGCACCTGAAGGGGTAGGACCAGCCTGCAGGAGTGGAGAAGGGGCTGGGACCCAGAGTGGTGGGGGGTTATTGCACAGCAGAGCCACTTTGCCACCGCTGTGTTACATCCCTGACAGAACAGAGCCATAACCCAGGGAGGACCCACACAGGCTGTGATGGAAGAGTCCACAGAGCCAGCACAGCCCTTCTGGGACAGAGGTGTCCAGCAGTCTGGAAGGAAAGGGCTTGGAGGGCTGGAAGGAAAGGGCTGGAAGGAAAGGGCTCAGAGGGCCACTTTCTGTGGCTTCATTTAGTCATTAACCTCATATTTAGAGAGACTTCAGGGGGGACTTGGAGAGGAATCTCTTGTTATCTCTGAACAGTTGATCACCAAGACTCTTTGGTCCCCAGATGGGTGGGATTTCTGGAATTCTGTGAATTCTGGAGGATTAAGTGTGATGCTACCCTCCAGAAGGGATGGGAACATTTATCTATCCTCTCAAGGTCCCCTTGTCCCTCTTACTGGGGGCTGAGGCAGGAAAGGACATGCCACCCCACACTCCAGTGCTGCACTGGGGAAGGGCTGTGGCTCACAGCAGCTGCAGCGGCAGTGCCTAAATCACTTCTGACAGTGATTTCCACCCTTACCAGGTGCTAAATGCCTTTCTGCTCTAGGAGCTGACTCTGAGCTCTGGAGACACAGGGTCAGCTGTCTGTCTGGTGAACCATCAACAGCACTTCATGCAGAAACTTTTGGCTGAGGTCTGGGAGACCCCCACCTTATTCAGTCCCAGCCCCATTGCCTGGGTTGAATGTCTGGAGGGGACCTCTCATTCAGCCAGCTCCTGGAGCGGGCCTGCTGGGCTGCAGGACACCACCCTGCCTGTACCAAACACAGCTCTGCTCTCTCCCCTCTATTTTCCCCTGGGGAAACAGAACCCTCCCTGGGAGCTCCCCATCTTACAGCCCTTCCTTCCCCGGGAACATTTCTGTGGCCACCCCAGGGGCTTCTCCTGCAGCCCCCAGCTCATCCCACCCAGCAGAGGGGAGAAGGTGGAGGAGACTCACCATTGCCCATCGCCAGCACCTGCATGTTCTCAAACTCCAGGGTGGTGTATGCCGGGTCTAGCGCTGCGCTGTAATCTGCCATCTCCATGTCTATGAGGGCTTTGGAAAGGCGCATTATCCTCAGCAAACACGGGCCAGATTGTACCGATTCCCTTGTCCCAGGCTATTGGCCCTCCTGCCTCCCTCTGCCTTCACTGCGTCCCCTACCTGTTGTCTTTTAATTCAGATATTTCTCTGAAAGGATTTGCTGAGCCTCAAGGCCTATACTCCCAGAGGGGTGGAGGCAGGAGGCAGGGGGTTAATCTTTAATCATCTCACCCATTGCTGAATACTGCTAAGCTTTTTTTTTTTTTTTTTTTTTTTTTTTTTTTTTGGGGGTTTTTTTTTTTTTTTTTTTTTTTTTTTTTTTTTTGGTGTAGCAGCAGTGATTCTTGTTGATTGTTTATTATTGAATCTCAAGGCGTTTCTGATCCTGGCTCCTGGGTGCAGGCAGCACCACAGGAGCAGGCACTCACCAAGATCTATTGACCTTGATGCTAAGCTGCTGGTGTTGCTCTTAATTATACCTGGGGTGGAAAACTTGGAAAAAACCCTACCAAGAGTACAAGGTTCTTCGCCACTTCTGTCATTGCCTTCCTCTCCTCAGCACTGATTGCCTACACCTCTGTTTTTCCCTTCTCTTGCTCCCTCCATCCCTTCCACTCCCTCTTTTCTCTCCCTCATGGTCAGAGAAGGTCAGCTCCTGCCTGGAAATTTACACGTTGCTATGTAAAGTGAAATATATGACTCCTTTTACCTCCCTATAAACCAACTTTTACAGGAGGCTGGATGCCCTATAAACAGATCCCATTCTGCAGCCATACCCAAACAGCGAGGGGGGCTGAGGGGTGGCACAGACACCCTGGGAATGGCCAGGGTGGCTCCTGTCCCACAGCTGAAATCACTCTGTGCTGACACCCCCAGCCTTGGGTACTGGCTGATCTGCTATAAAAGTTTCATGAGACAGGTTCCAACAGAGCAGCAGGAGCTTTCCTTCTGCGGGTGCACTGTCTGCTGACAGCACCAGACCTGGGCTCTCACCCCACTGGTGCTGGGCAGAGCTGCCTGTGCTCTCCTCCCCAGCTGCCCCGTGGGACATCACTCCTCCACTTCAGCCAGAACTGAGACTTTTCAGTCTTAATTGAGACTCAGATCTCAATTTTGAGATCATTGAGCGGGAATTTAATTGATTTCTGAATAGCACTGGCTCATGCAAGAGAATCAGCAATTAATGATTTGGTATCAGTTTGTTCTGCATTGAAAACAGCCCCGTGGTTTCGCAACCAGCAGCGACTGAGTCCACACGCTGCTGATCTGGGCTCCCAGTGCCTTGTGTTTGTTCTTCCCAGGCACCCCAATGCAGCCCCAACCCCACTGGCACCATAAGCTGCCCTGGATATAGTGCCATCACTGCCACAACATGAATCCAAGGTCTCTGGCTCCACACCAGTACATGCCTTTGGGCAGTTGTGCTAGATTTTCTATTCACATTTTAGGAGCACACGGAATTGTTCAAGCAGCCCTTTGCCCCCCAAAGCCATGACCTACATATCACTTCTGAACAGCTCTTCTACCCTGAGGCTGCAGTTCTGCCAGAGTGAATCTGAGCACAGGGGAGAGCCCCTGCTTTCTCACTTGGGAATGGTGATAAATGATCCTTTGCTGCAGGGGAAACAGTGATTCTGTCAGTGCTCCTGAGGGACAGGCCAGAGCTCATGTGCTGGTGGCTCTTCCTTTAGGCAGATACAGTCCTTGCCAAAAATTGGTTTTATGATGTGCAGACTGGGATGGAGATGCAAGAATAGAGCATAGCCTTTTCCATAGCCTTATCCCAGGGACCTCAGCCCCAGTCCCGGCCAGGCCAGGGTGATCCCTTTGATTAGATAAATGCTACAGACACCAGGTCAAATATGTGCAAGATTTGCCACAGCGTCTAGTAAAATATCGTAAAAGCAAGGCCCGTTCTGCTCTGCTCAGCAAAACAAACCTTTTGCATCAATAGCCTGCTGAGCAAGGGGGCTGCAAAGGCCATTTACTTCCCAGGCAGGAAGGATTAGAAGGGCCAGGAATAGAAATCAGAGAGGCAGCATGTGCAGGAGAGAGGCAGATAAGGAGCAGGGAAGTTTGGAGAGCATTAGGTGGCTCACGAGGCTGGGGCTGTCAATGGGACACAGTGTTTTCCACCCAGGACTGTGTTGACTGCTGTTTTTCACCACCAGTGTCCTCTGTGGGTCACCAGTTGCCCCTCCCAAATCCTTCATGTTGGTGTGGAGGTCGAGGGCCAGACCAGCCAAGGACACCACACACCTCCTTTGCCCTGGAGATGAGCTCTGATGGAAGCACTGGCTGCTCCCTGGGCACTGTTGCTGCAGGTGAAGTCTCCCCTGGTGTCTTTTGCCTGGGAAGTTCATGGTTGTCTCCCCCGGCATCCTCATGTGGTGACTTTTGGGACAGCTTGCTTGCACTGGCTTGTACTGACCAACAGGACCCCACAGGTCTGTAGCTGTTTTAGGTGGGAGATGTTCAAGTCAGCAGCTGCTTGTGGAGCTGTTTCAAACACTTCTGGCTACAGAAGGCGTCTTGCCTTTCTTATCCACACAGAGAGACAACTCATAGCTGGAAAACCCCCACTGATAAGTGAAGGCTGTTCCCAAACTAGGTGCTCCAGAGAAGTTAATCTTTCAGATCTGCTCCTCTCTCCTGTCCTGGTTCTCTGTACACTCCACCCACTGTTTCCGATGTCAAGTCATGGTTGCAAAGGAAACCATGACAGCTATGGGGTTTGACCTGTTCTATGTCAAGTGATTATTTCATTTTCATCTGTTGAGCAGTAAATCCTTTCCCACACTGGCACATCATGGCACTAATTCTGCCTTATCTATATATCCCCCATCTGGAAAATTTATGCAAACCTAAAGGGGATTCCCTGAAAATTAGATCTGTGCTTCTCAATAGGTGAGGACCAGGGACAGAGTATTTAATAGGGCATTTTTGGAAAGGATGCCGTCACCTACTGTGCTTGCCAACTCTGCATGTCCAGCAGGTGAGCTGGCTCCTCTCAAGGGGCTCCTCCCTGGTGATTCTTGAACAGGGTGTTGTAGGATCAGAGGATAATTGATGCCAGAAGGAACCTCAGAGTCTCTGCCCCAGGCTCCTGCTGGAAGCAGGGCCAACCGTGAGAGCAGCATGGGCTCCCTGCAGCTTTATCTAGCTGGGTCCTGAACACCTCCAAGGATGGAGAGCAGCCTCGGCAGCCAGCTGGTGCTTGACTGTGCTCATGGTTAGACACTGGCTGAACCTCTCTCCAGTTTTTATGCCCCTTGTTCTCCAGCCATGCACCCTGGGACGAGCCTGGGCCCATCTTTTCAAGTGCTCCTGTGTGTGTTATGCTCCTGCAGTTCCTGCTGGCCCATCTCTCCCCGCTGCTGCAGGATGCAGCCCTGCCTGCCAGTGGATCGACCAGGCACCCAGTCTGGGCTTGCCTGCAGACTTCCTGAGCATGGACCATCACCAGGGGCCCTCCTGCTCGTTGCTTTTCTCTCTCACAGCTCTGCACTCTTATAAAGTGCCCGGCAGAAAAGCCAGAGCCCAGGGCCAGCAGGACTCCCCTCAGCTGTCATCGGCAATGCCATCGCTGGCCTGGCAGCCCTGACTCCAGAGCTCTGCTCCCCGTCACTCCCAGCTCCAAGGCCACTGTAGAGCTGGAATATTTCACATGGCCTTTTTTTCCCGCACATGCACACAAAGCAGAGATGGGCTCAGGTGTGGAACCTCAGCAGAGCAGCCAAGCCCTGAGCACGGTCAGGGCCCTGCTCGGCCCGTCGCCATTTCACGAGCGAGCTGTGGGGAAGCAGGAAGCCCAGGTACAAGACAAAGAACAAAAGTCCCAGGGGAACGTCACCAGCGTAGTCATCTCCACACATGCAAAGGTCCCTTCTGCCTTTTTTTTTTTTCCCCTTTGAAATTTCAAATTCCAGTTTGTGGACAAAGTCCTGCCTATCTGAGAATATAGATCTCCGACCACTGACCAAACTCCACTTCAAGCAGTCCCGAGGACTGCTCTTCCCCCTGCCCACGGACGTGTCTGCTCAGTCCTTGGATCTCCCAGGATCATGCTGAAAATTTTGCACTGGAGCACAGCACTGGTACTTTCACAAAGCGGATTTTGTACTTAATGTCAGCAGCTTCTTTCTGGGAAGAACCTCGGGAATAACCAGGTAGGAGCCTTATCACCTACAATTCATTTGGCCAGCCATTGAAGAGAGAAAAGGAGAAGGAGAAACAAGGGCTTCCATTGTGCTTGTACCAGCAATTTTAGTTCATCATTTAAGTAAGGGAAGGGGAAAAAAAAGCAGCTTCAGAGGGGATGATAAACTAGAGGGAACATGAGCTTGTGGAGGCAGAGCCACTCTGTATAGTTAACTGATAACTCCAATTTGCTCTTCCCTCTCATCTTTTCTGATTCTCTCAATTAAGCTCAACTTATTCTCATGCTAATCATTTCTTGACCTGTTTATTCTGCATTAAAAAATTAACAGAGAGCAGTTTACTGCATGACTTGCTCACACAGAACTGCTACAGATTAGCAGGCATGCTTTAAGCCCCTACACTGATTCTTTTGGGTCTCGCAGCCAGTCTGCACAGCTCGAGGATGAGCTTTTTTTCCTGTTTTTAAAGAACAGCTTTTTCTAAAGTCAATATAAACCCCCCTCCTTTCATGCCTTGAGTATATTTGCTCGGTGACTATTTCCAAATGGGAAAGATAAAGCCAAGGGCTTGTGTTTTGTCAGACTTTTTGTAAACAGAGGTATTTAGGCCATACTGTCAAACCCTCCTGCCTTCTACCTTGGCGTGCTGTGACTCCAGAGCAGAATTGTCAGTGTGTTAATAAGCAGCTCCAAGGAATTTTTTGGGGCTGTAATGTTGCAGGTCAGTGCAGCTGCCCAAGCCCCCAGCTCATGGGGTAGATCTTTGCCTCTGCTCGCGGCAATCATATGACAGACACACAGATGGGAATCTGCTCCCATGTCCCTCCCCAGAACATCCCCAGAAGCTGTGAGAAGCCTCCAGGGAAATAGATGATTCAGCAGAGGTTGTTTAGGGTCCGTTTGCCCCTTGCCAGCTGCACACTGCGCATCCCTGCCTGAGCAAAACACTTTGTAGAGGTGAAAATGAGCCACCAGCTCCATCCAGGGAGGTGGATTAGAAAGATCCAGCAATGAGAGGCAGAAGGAGACCACAGCCATGTGCCAGACCTTGCCTGGGGAAGATGCAATCAATTTTATCATCCTGTTCCACAGCAATCACTCTTGGTGATTTACTTTCCCCAGGGCTGAAGTGCCTGCCACTGGGGTTGGGGCAGATTTGCTGTTTGGAGCTGGGGGCAATGGCCAGGACAGACAAACCCTGTGCAGACCCCAGACATACTGTCACTGATCATCATGTGACATGTGCTGGCACCCCAGGCTCCCCAGCACAACTCAGGGTGACAGAGGCAGCTTCCTTGCAACCTTAGGCTGCTTCTGAACAGAGTTATTATCAAAATGTAGCCAAACCAACCAATACTGTCCTAGTCCCCAGACCACAAAATTCTCATATGGAGAACTGAGGCAGCTTTTGGGCATGGGGAAGAGTTACTGTAAAGAAGGTATAAGACTGCCTGAACTCCTCTCCAAAAGCAACATGTGCAGTTCAGCAGAAGCTGGGATGATGTTGGGCCTGGAGGCAATTATTGAAGCTAAAATAAGTAGCTGCTCTGCAAAAGTGGTAGGGAAAGAACTGCAAACACGGGGACAGACAGATCATTTCAGCATATACTGCTCTGGTGATAACACTGTGCTTGCCTTTCATCCCAGGACTGGAGAGGAGTTTATTATCCTGCCTAACAAGGGCTCTGAACTCTTGAGGAAGTAATTATTATTTCTCCTGGGAGCAGTTATTATGCAAGAACAGTAAATTTGAGCTGTTCCCAGAAGGGTGGCTGTACTTGAAAAAGCCAGGGCATTTGCTGATGTGTATTTGCCATCACTCTGCCTGCCCTGGATTCCCTGAAAGCAGTATCTGGCTCTGGGGTCTGCAGTTTTGCTGTTGTGACTCTCGAAATCTGTCTGCTCTGTTTTTATATAAAATCATGCAATGAGCCCAGGCCCAAGGGAGAAAGGGGAATAGATTCATCTTCTTCCATTTATACCACAGGCTGCAACGTGACCCAAGCTACAGCTCGCACCACTCATCCCACTTGCCCCCTTCAAACCCTACACCACAGGCACTGCACTCCATCCAAACCCCAACCCAGCAGAGATCCGTACACTTTCCTGCTAAACACTCTCCTGCCAATTTGGGAAGAAGTTCAGGAAAGCTCTGACTTTGCCATGTGCTGCTCCAGGTTCACTGACTACACTGGCAAAAGCTTGGCTGAAATCCAGTGGTTTAAGCCCCATTGAAATGGGGGAGCAGGAGCCTCAGGGAAGCAGCAGCACCGGAGAGAGGGTTTGCTGCCAGCCACAGACACTACTGCTGTCTGTGCCTTGCCAGCTCACACATTTAGTGTGGCAGGGATCTCAGCAACCCGCTCTAGACCCCGGGAGAACTTATTTAGCAGGTGGATATGATTCCTTTGGGCCTGAAATAATCCTGAAGCTTCCAAGGAAAAGGATCCCTACTGAGCTCACAGTCTGGCAGGCAAGTGTGTCTCTCCCTTCAGCCCTGCCAGCTGTTTGCAGGCCTTTTACGTTTCATTGACTTTATACGTTCATTATACACACATGAAACAGCCCCTGAATCGTTTCAGCTGTGGAGCAATAGGTGAAGGAGGAGAACAGCCAAAATCAACAGTGGTTGCACATCAAGTTTTACCTTTTTTTTTTTTTTTTTTAATATATTTTTGCAAAGCTAGGTTCATCAACAAGCCACTCCTGGAAGTGACCTCCAGTGGCTGCTGGGGCTCTTGGGATCATCCCTCCCTCAAAATTGGGGCAAAAGACTGCAATGATGCTGAGGGGTGGAGGGAGAGCTGCAACAGAGCAAGGGTGTCAGGGGACAGTCTGAGCCCATGGCCCTGGAGGAGGGCAAGTCAAGAGCACCTCAAGGACAAAAAGCATCTTCTTGGACCCAACAGTTCCAGCCACCCTCCTGCCCTGGGCTGGCTGGCAAAGTCAGCCCCAGCTGGGGAGCTGAACTTTGGGGAACATCTCAGGACAGGGCCATGTGTGCCTGATGGGAGGAAGCATGAGAAGGAGGGAGGCTGCTGCAGGTGGGAGCACTGGCAGGTCTGAATCAGGAAAGGTAGGCTGGGCATGGGAAAAACAACCCATACAAAGGGGTGAGGGGTGGTGAGTTAAAATTCAGGAGATTCTAGTTTCTGAAGACAAAAGGAAACAAGTTAGTGCAAAATGCTTTTTCTCTGCAGGAGTGTGCAGAGTGCCTGAGTAACCTGTCATGTCCCCAATGTCCTCAATCACCAGAGCACAGCAAGGAGTGAGTGAGAACCAGACAACACTCAGGAGCTCCACGTCCACAGCAGCTGCACGCTCCCCACACACCCTCCTGTGTGACACAACCCTCCTGTCCACTGCCAGAGAAACAAAAACACAGCAGAAAGCAAGGTATGGGAACATGGGAACACAGGAAGGGCAGGGGATCACACGTTCCTACAGTTCCAGAAAACCACAGCCAGGACACTGCAGGGACAACTGCCTGGCTCCCAGCTAACAAACATGGGAACTGCTGATCAGCTGGGACTATTCAGCCTAGGTAACGTTTGACTATTGTTTGTCCCTTTACATTCCTGCAAGTCCTGGTGCCATTGGCTTCTTGTATCATAAAGAAATTAAAATATATTATGACCGTAAACAACATCATTTGAGGAAATGAACCACTTCTAGTAAACGTATCATGGAACGCTGAAGCCATGAACTCTCCTATATTGATTTCCAGCTGATAAAGAGCTCAGGTACTGCTGGGAGCAGCCCCCAGCATGACACTCCCCACTGGCATGGGGAGCTTGTCCTGTGGGATGCAGACTGGGGGTGCAGGCTACCCCAGAAAGCACAAACCCCAGCACAAACCAGCACAAACCCTGCTCAGGAGGAATTGCTCAAGCAAGAGGAGCAGCTCAATTTTTGCTGAGTCCTGGAGTGGAATGGAGGCTGTTGGGGTGTTTTGGGGATGAGGTTGTGTGAGGCACAGGGGTCCAGGGTTCAGGAAGCACCAAACATGTCCAAGTTCCTCACGGTGCTGGCAGTAGTCCACTGGAACTTGGACATGTTTGGTGCATTCTAAGCCCACCCAGCCTCCTGGCCTCCACACCAAGGTCCCCATGGGTGCTGAGGCTGAGGAGCTGAGCACAGAACTGACTGGAGTGGGCCACAGAGGAGAACCCTAAAAACCTTCCTGGTAAGGACTCTGTGCAACCAGTAAAGTTTGCACTGGGAGTGTTTTTCTCTTAGTTGCTTCTGAGCTTTCATTCTGAGGGCCAGGAAGTCCCACTGCAGGTCTGGCTCAGGAGCAGAGGCTGTGCTGAGAGTGGCAGGATCTGTCCCCGGGGCAGCCCAGGGCAGTAATGCCAGGCACTGGGAGCTGGCCTGACAATGACTAAATCATTGCCCAGACAGCACAGGTAATCACTGGGGTATCCGCGGGGTGCCAACCTGACTCTACCACCTCTTCCCCCAGGAGAACAGCACCCACCATGCTGCCCACGTTGGGATATCTCTCTCTTGTGCCCCAGAACCAGCCTGGGGACATGAGCCATCACCACCCACAAAGCTGGTATGTGCACCCTGCACAAAGCAAAACAGAAACCAGGGATGTGGAGATCCCATCCTCTGGGAACCAGCAATATCAGTGGGAATGAGCCTATTTCAGCAGCTCCAAATCCACACTGGAGACCCTGTCAATGCCCTTTGTTCACATAAGCTCTGCAGCTGCTTCTCTCCCTGCTGCAAGTGCTGGGGGAGCAGGGGGGTACCTGGTGTTTCCTGGAACAGGTGGTATCTGCTGCCATTCATCTTCCAGGGGTGCTCAGCTCCGTGGGCAGAGCTAGGGAAGTCTCATCCCTGGATGGGGCTGTGCAGCCGGCGAGCCCCCCGCAGGCAGCGGGGCACGAGCCATGCCCAGGAGCTGCTTGTGGCGCAGAGGCAGGGACAGGCTAATCCCTTAATGCTGGTCACAATGAGATTTGATGGGGAGCAGGAGTTTGTGCTGCAGAGTTGCAGGTTTTAAAGGGTTCTGGCCACTACCCGGAGGAAAATTATAAGGTGGCTCTGGGTTTGTGCCCCGCTGCCAGTGCCCGCAGCAATCCCTGCTGCTTCCTGGGCCACCTTTCTGCCCCTGGCCTGCCACTGGGTTTCCTTAGGGCAGGGGTACCTGACAATACGTGCAGCTGTGGAGGTTGATCCAGAAAATGTACCTGGGTGTGTCTAACAGCAGGAGTGGGTCTGGCTCCTCAGGGAGAAGCTGACTGCTTTTGCTTTAAAGTGTTTCTATATAAATAACCAGAACACCACATCCTTGAGCAACAACCTTGGTCTCCCCTCCCAGCTGACATCACAGTACAGGATGACTCAGTCCAGAGGGGAGCAGGGAGGCTGCTGAGCACCCAGAGTTTTCTTCCTGCAGGAAGTGTATTCTGACAAGTGTGGCCCTGTTTGTAATGGAGGAGGAAAATCGTGTGAGGGAATAGAGTGGCACTTCACTAGGGTTGCACTGAGTGACTGGATTGCTGAAAGGGAAACCGGAGCACCTCTGAATTCAGCCTTGGGCTGCATGGCTGTGACCCAGCTAGGGCCAGGTCTCATCAGCCTCTGTGTCCAGAAGAACCAACTCAGGGACAAACCCATCTGAAATACCCATTTTCCTGCATTTTCTTCCTCCTTGGATGACTCTTCCTGCCAAGCCCACCTCTCCTTTTGCTGTGCCAAGGAGAAGAGATCTCATTCCTGCCCTCCAAACATCAGGCCCCAAGCAGCACCTCAAAGGCACTTGTCTAATGGAGTAAAAGCATTCCTAAACCATTCCTGTCCTGTCTCCACAAGCTTCTGCTTCCACTCAGGCCTGCCTGAGGTATATCTGAGTTAATTTGGAGTGCCCACAGTCAGCAGCTTCCAGAATGTTCCTGGTGGGTCAGGAATGGGGAGTGAGCAGCAGCTCTGTCCCTCAGCTCTGTGCCCAGGGAGGGGTGTGCTGGCAACAGGGGCTGATGCCCAACATTCCCATGTGGAGCAGGGAGCAGCATCAAGGGCAGGGCAGGGACTGAATTGTGTGTAACCCCGTGACACCTCCCTGCACCCCTGTGTTGCCACACAGGTTTTAGTGGCTGTAACAGGGAAACACACCCAAGTCAACAGACATTTCTCCCAGACAGTGGCAGTCTCCAGGCACACACCCATGGATGAGCCACAGGCAGCACTCGGCTCTGCTTCCACCACCTCAGTCGCACCACCTTGGTGGCAGCAGACTCTAGGCAGGGAGTAGCAGGGCTGTGGATCTGAAGCCTGGCTGTTTGTCCCCTTGTTCCTCCTGCCTCCTTATTCCATTCTTCATTTCCTGTTGCAGCCTTTGGCCTGCCAACAATGAAACTCTGCATGAGCTGGTTCCCTCAGGCATCCATCAGTGCTTTGGTCTTTCTTCCCTGCTGGGCCACCTCTACCTCAGTGTGCCTGTCCCTGGCACAGGACCTGCTCAAGCAGCAACCTCTTACCATGGGCTATGAAGGTTTTGGGGACTGTGTGGCAAAATAATCAGCATCCCTCAGGAACAGAGGGGGAGAGAAGTGGCTGAGTGGGGCAGGAGGGCTGGGCTCTGCCTCCATGAGGGGCACTGGGCCATAAACCTGGCCTGGTGGCTGAGGTTTGTGTGTTGGCAAACATGTTGAGTGAGCTCGGCTGTTGATTCTGACCATATAAACCAGTGTTGTGGCACTTGTTCAGGTTTGTGCAGGTTTTACAGCTCTTGTTCTGAGAAGTACCCATGTATTTGGTTTTGTTCCTTCCTTCAGGTCTATCTGTTGACATTGGCTCTCCTAAGCAGAGCGTTAGGCCATGCCAGGAAGCTGAGTGTGCGTCTCTCCTTGTGTTTCCCACTTTCCCAGGAGTTATCACCTATAAAATCTCACACACACCCTTGGCTGGGACAGGTTTCTGGTGCAGAGGCAGGTGAAAGGTGTCTGATGGTCCCCACCACTGGTTGGTGGGTTTGGGTTTCCTGTGCTCAGTGACAGGAGATGAGCCACCCACCCTGACAGATGGATGAGCAAAGCTGCAGGGAAGGTGCTGCCCTGGGAATTCTGGAGTGGAGTGAGCAAGGTCTGAGGTCTTCAGGGCAGTGATAAAAATGAGGCTGTCAAACCAACTTGGATGTGCAGAGAAGGAGAAGATGCTCCCAGAGCACTGTCACAGAGGACATGGGCTATGGGTGGTCACCTACGAAGGAGCCACACACTATCACCCATTCCCTACCTCCAATCCTCTTCCCAGCAGGAGCTGGCAGCAGCAGGTGTCCCTGAGGAACACCTTGCTGTTGGAGGCTCAGAGGGCTTGAGCTCACAGTAATGGTCCCCATCTGTCTCTCAGCACCAGAGCTCCATTACCATGGGGATGCACATGGAATCTCTCTGGTTTTTGCACAGGATTTGGGGACAGAAATCTGATCCAGCCTTGCAGAGCCAGAGTCTGTTTGCTCTTCGACTGCTGGTGCATTTCCACAACCACTTGCTCTGCCTGAGCTGCTCCTCCCATCCCTTTGGTACAGCATCCTGAGCCTGCCTTTATTTTTTGAGACATGTATTTCCTGAAGGGATTTGCTGAGTAATCTCTGTTGATGCTCAGGCTGAAGCTTGGGCAGGAGCTGTTCCTGGGGGTAATTGCTTCTGGGACCCAGCTTTGCTCAGCAGCCCCAGTGCCTCTGTCCAGGACAGGAGAACAGAGCCCTCAGCTTCGGGTTCACCATACAACCCCTACCTTGAAATTCACCTTCTGTGAAAATTCTGCAACATTTGCCATTTCCACATACATTTCTGCCAGGAACCTTGTTTGCTTGAATATTTGAGGAAAGCAAACAAAGAAGGAGCCTGAACACAAACAGTCACGGATGTTTTTTTGCAGTCTTTACCCTGTTCTAACCCCAAGCCTGCTGGCAGAGATACTTGCAGGCATCCCCTGATGTTCCCCTTGGCTCTGCCCTGTGTGCTGTCCCTCAGTGCTGGCCCTGGTCATGCTGCAAATACTGCTGTATGTAAAAGAAACTCACCCAGCCCTTGCTGTCTGTGGGACCACCATCACTCACCACCCCTTTGCACTCATGCTAAGTAAACATTTTTTAATGCCATTTAAGAAATGTCAGCAGATGACTAACAGAGTATGACTGGCAGACCTACACCAGCCCTGCTGAGCTCAGAACATTTCTCAGGCACTTCTCAGGCACTTCCTGAGCCTCTTGCTGCTCACCTTCCAGAGCTGGAGCTCATTTCCTGCTGACAGCAGCTCTCTGGGCTCACTCCCCCTATAAAAATACCATTGTGTTTCAAGAAAAGCCAAAGTGGAGGGTGTGCTGCTGGCCCCATAAATGGCTGGAATGAGGTGGGAGAAGTCACAGCCCTGTGGGTAAGTGCAGACACCCTGTGACACTGAGCAGCATCCCCAGCTCTTCCCCAAGGAAACCTTCACCAAGCACCAGCAAACAGCTCTTGGGAGCAGGCCAAGTTGCTAACACAGTGATTGTCCCTTTTGCATCCCAGCAAATACCTCTGCTTATTCCTGGCTGCACCAATACCCTGCTCAGGCACTGGAAAGTGCTGCCCTTGCCAGCACCAGTGTTACAGCCACCCCAACATCCAGCAGGGATGGCCAGAGTGGGGACAAGGAAGGGAGCTGTATGCCAGGTGTCCTAAGAACCATCAGTCCCTGATGG